AAACCGCACAGTCTGCAGGGCAAAAAAGCCTAACTCAAAAGCCACTTAATCTGAGCCCCCTGCATGAGTGAGCTTTGCAGCAAAAGGGGCAGGGAAGGGCCTGTGATATGGTGGCGGGCACTGAGGGGCAGCCCAGGGGCAGAGCATAGAGGGAGGAGTTGCAGGGCAGTGAAGATGAGTAATTTGGTGGAATATGACAGTTAATACCTGAATACAAGCTTTGTATTCAAAGAAGAATTGCTTAAGATTTGAGCCAACAGAACGCTTCTAAGGTCAAGTCACAAAAAAGAAAGACTTGGGTTTTTGTGTGTGAAATTGTTTTGTACAGCAGGTGCTTTGCATCAGCTTTAGATGTCCACAGGAAGGACTGTGCTCTGGAGGGAGTGATTTATTACAGTGCATACACCCAAGCAGAAAACCAGGAGCTTAAAAAGCACCTGACTGTGATGCTCTGGATTACACTGGGCTTTCCTTCATGACAGAAATACGTCCTTCACAAAGCATAGTCGGGGTAAGGAGACTGCCACTGTCATTTGACTTCTTTCTTGAATTTGCCAATTCTACCTTTCTCTAGTATAGAAAAATATAAATAGTGGAAACAGATTTCTGCACTCCTTGTTGAGACAAATATAAATATAGTAATAATAGTCAATGGTTATAAAATTATAAGGATTGAATTATGACAGCTTAAAAGAGCCACAGCATTGACTTGAGGAGCTTTCAGGGAATTCTGCGTGTCAGTTGTCCACAAACAGTATCTGGAAAGCCCAGCTGTTCCCATAAGCATGACAGTGCATGTAGACAGAAGAGAATGCTGCTAATTCGCTCGTGACCACATCAAATTTCTGTCAGAAATACTAAAACCACCTTCAAATGGCAACCTGATGGAAATGCAACAGCACGTTTTTCAGGAAGTCTAGCCCTGTCTGCAGACACAAAGATAATGTGGACGGATGCTACAAGAAACGTTTGTTCTCATAGCATGCTGTAGCAATTGCAGGCAGAAGCTTCTGCCAGTGTTCAGAAATATCAGGTTTTTACTGAAAATTAGATACTTTCCAAAGTGATGCTGTAACAGGATTGCCGCCACAACAGCATGGTACTTTTCTCCAGAACTCCTGACTCTGGGCAGTGGCACAGCATTGCTAAGCAGGACTGCTTACTCTTTGCCTTGCCCTCTGATGAGGTTCACATACTTGAAGTGTTATCCCCCAGGAGCAGCATGAAACCAGCTAGACTGTAACTCTCTCATACAAGTATGTACAAAGAGACTATCAATGGAGAAATATGTCATTTCTGCTGCTGCTCCTAGTCTGCCCCTAGGAGGCAAAAGCCCCATGAGAGTGAGGAGGAGGTAGGAAGAGAAGTTTTGGTGAAAAAATGTGCTAACGTTGACTTTCTATTGCTGAGAGAGATATTTGCATATTTGCATGTGTTGTATATTACAGATAGACAGAACAACACTATTCTGACTTAGGAAAGAGATTGTCAACTTGCTTTAATGATATTAATGCACCTGTCCAAAGGTGCTCTCCCATGTAGGTTTTTTTTTCCTATATATACATGGTTTAAGGATTACCTGCCCCAGCCAATCATTTCTGTCTTTTTCTTCTCCCACCTTCACTCACCACTAATTCTGTTATTCTGTCTCGCCTGTTTTGGGATCATGTAATAGACTAAGATCAATGAAATGAAGCAGGTTAAAAACAACATGGAAAGAAAAAAAGATATTTTCATTTTGTATCATGTCACTTCAGTTTACACCAGCTCCAACAATGGTACTGACACAGCTGTGGAAGTAACAAGATCCTGACTATGATTTTCTTTGTGAGCATTGAATTGGAAAGCCAGAGGTGTTCAGATGGGAGTGTCTGACCTTTAAAACCATTTCAGAGCACAGGACAACATCAGTAGATCAAAGATACCTTAAAAAGATGGACTAGCACTTACGGCAGAGAAACTCAGTAAGGCTCTTTTTCTCCCCTTTTTTCTTTCCTCTATTTTTGACAAATTTAATTCCTAAGCAGCCACTTTTCCCAAAGGTACATGGAAACAGAATGTTGAATAAATGTTCTGATTAGAAAAAATACTTAAGGCTGCAGTCATAAAAGTTGCACATGGGAACAGTAACACACCATTGCTATGCTGGGATTCAGATGCTGGTTTTGGTCTACGTGGAATCTGGAATGGCATGCTTATACGTAAGAAGGCATTATCATTATTGATATTCTTGTCTTGCTTGAATATAATCTTGCGATTTTGCTGCTGCTGCTGTTGTTAAAGGCAGAATATCTATAAGCTGCTTTCAGGCTTGCGGGTCCTGTTCCTTAAAATATTAATTCCTCCAGATTCTTTCTTCACCTAAAAATAGCTAATTCCCCCAAATCACTCACAAACATCCTTTACAGAAATAAGTGGAAAAAACAGGATCTGGGAAGCTGTTGCACCTGCAAGTGTAAAATGTAATATGGTAGACATAGCAGATGGGCAACTTTCACAGCAATTTCACAGCATAAACAGTTATTTTAATTGTGTTTGTTGCAATTTATATTCTCAGCAGTATTCTATCTGTTAGGGATATATTTGTTTCTGTGTATTGGATGAAAGAGAAGACAACAGGAACTGTCTAGCATTCAGAATTGCAAAGATGAGCTTGTTCTTTGATCACTGCATGATTTGTAGCAAAATGAATATATTGCTACAGTTAGCACCTTAAAACAATCATGAAGACCGCCAGATAGAATAGCAACAGTCACAATGTCTAATCTGCCTTAATATTAATAATAAATGCTTTATCATCAGTAATGATTTTTTATTTTCAAAAATAAATATGATTTTATAAATAAAATACAGTGTTTAGCAGTATGAATAGCATAAAGAACTGCATTTCTCCCACTAAGAAAAAAACACTGAGTTATGTAGCAAAAAAAGTTATCATTGGCAAGTGGCAAATATAAAGCACGTGGCAGTGTTTTTAACTCAAATAAACTCCATCCAGCACTCTAATAAGCTTCTGAACTAGCTAAGATAGAAGTTTTTGTATTAAGCTGGAAATATCAAGCACTTCCAATGCTTTATTTTGACACCCAAAAATGTTTTGAAAAATACTAAGGAAGCTGTGCAGAAGGAGAAGTGATAGACAATGAGGAAGATTCAAACAACCTTTTATGAAGCTCAAAGACACACAATTTTTCTTCTGCTGTCTCATCCCTGTGCAGAGCTCCAGCAACTTCATTGAGCTGTATCTAGTAGAGGGTTCCGCCTTCGTGGTTTGGCTTTACCTTCAGCACAAACACAGGTTTAGAATTTCTTGTGAAGCTTATTTTCTCAATATCAGTTTTCCTATCCCATCCTATATCACCATCCTTTGATTTGTGTAATGAACTCACAGGCAGAACAGCAGAAGAAATGTATGATCATAGTTTTAAAAAAAAATATTTCCACTTAGCAAAAGCTTTAAAAAACTGGCCAGCAGAATCTCTTGAGATCCTACTGGCAAAGGTGGGAGCAAACAAACACGTTAGCTGACACCTGATAAGTGGGAGTGTACGCAGTGATTCTCGATGGTAGCAGGGGACTAGACTTGATCACCCAAGAGATCGGTCCAGTCTTGTCTTTACAGTCGTAATTACCACACACATTTCATTAGCCATTATTCTGTAAAGACTGTAGCTTGTATGCACCAATATAGCTTCACAGGACTCTGCAAAATGGGGTAAATGCAATACTTTTAGATATAACATGGTGAATACTGCTGATGGCAGCAGCCAAACAGTCTGAACACATTTTAGTTCCCTTTTCCTCCACCACTTCTTGCCTAACATCCTGAGGAGAGCAGTTTTCTCTACTGATCATGATGATGAAACCCACAAGCAGCATTCTTATGCAAACCCTCGCTGACAAGCAGAACTGCTCTTAGCAAACAGACCAGAATGTTAAGGTGATATACCCGTGGATTCTCTCATTGAGGGAGCCAGTTTTTCTGCCTGTATTGAAATCTTGGAGAGCTTTGGAGAACCCAGGTAAATTGTTGTATATGTTTGTCTTAGAAATAAACGTGCAAAGTTCCAGGAGAAATAAAATCAGCACAAGGTATTACATATAACCTCATATAACTGGAAATTTTAATTGCAGATTTTACTTACAATTAGTTGTGGAGCTGAAAAGATGCCAAGCTGATGAAATGGACTTTTCTCTCCTGAAGTTTTGTGTTTCATTCCCTGAAATTTTACTAAGAGCAGTCCTAATTCATGTGACCTTTGCATTTTGAATAATAACAGAAATGGTATTACTTAAAGGCAATTATTTTCTAGTAATTCCTTTTGCATTATTTGTGGCTGGTTGGTTTGTGGGTGGGGTATTTTTTAATATACTATAGTCTGGATTGAGCTATCAGTGTATGTATTTTGTTTGTAGTGGGTCATGGAAAATATTTTTCTTTCCAGCAGTGAGTCAGAAAGGTACTCAATGTCTTAAAACTGCCCAAAATTTCCTCTAAAATCATATGGGATCTTGAAATTCTAGAAATAAGGGTAGGAACTTTTCAGTGGCAGGAACTCAAGTTTTTCTACCTTGAGACTTGGAGATGTTACATTAGCTTTAGTGGAATAACCAGAGTCAAATCAAAGACGTTCATAAGGCAGTCACTGTATACACTATATATAAATATGGTTCTGAGTGAAGAGGGATCTGTCTGCTTCATTTCTGGGCAGACTCGGTAGAAAATTTGCTTTATTCTGAAAACTGTTGATTAGCATCTGAGAAAAATAATTTTAGAAGCCAAAATTATTAAGTATCATGAAATTCTGTGCTTATATAAATCCACATTTAAAAAAATCATAACCCTTTTTCGGAAAGGAACATTTGTTACTCTGTTTTTATTGGATAGAAGTTCTTGGCGGAAAACTGAAGCTGCCAGCCTTTTGTTTTTGAAGACTGAGTTGCCAATGGTTGGCAGTTTTCCTGATTTTGACATAGACAGGTACGAAAAAGAAGCAAGAAAATAAAAGTGCAACTTTGTGTGGAACTTATCAGGACATAGGACGAAGAGATGACCATGCATGGATAGATGCTTTGGTCTCATGCATAGGCTGTGACAGCAATAGTTTGGGACCAAGCTGGGATGTCACCTGGCTGTTCTGGTCAAGCACTATGCCTTCACTAGTCCTGGTCTCAAACTGACCTGGACTGGATGAACTATATTGTCCTCTCATCTTCCTGCAATATGATGTAGTTGGTCTTGCTATTAGGTAAAAGATGAGAAAAAGTGACAAGAGAGTGACAACAAAGGTGTAGAGGAATGCACAAGGAAAAGATACAGAATACAGTGTGATCAGGCTGGAACACTGTCTTGTCTAATTTTGACAACTGCATGTCCTCATGACTGTGCTGGTTTTGTCTTGCTGGTGTTAGAGGGGTGTTTGAAACGATGCTTTCAGGATAACACAGAGGCTGTCAGCCTCTCACTGGGGAATCCCCTAGATTTCTGTCTATCCTCTCCATCCCGGAGGTCTGCCAGACAGCAGACTATCCTGCCTCTTCATTATTTAGTATCTGATGAGGGCTTATTTCTCTTGTATACCAACCATTGTATCAGCAAGTCTTTTTGTTTGGGCAGATGCTGTCTTTCTGCCTTCTTTTCATACTTCTGCTACCTACATTCATAGGTACAGAGTATTGCAACACCTTAACTCCACTTTCCAAATGCTGCACTCACTGTTAGAGGGAGTCTTCTTTAACTTGTAATTAAAACTAGACTCCAGGGGAAGAAAAGCAACTTGGAAATTATTTATCTCTTCTGGAAACAACAAAGTTGCATAATGATAATTCTGAAGTCCCTCTGTCTGGAAAAGGAAATAGTCAAACAATAATTTATCATGAATTCAGAATGGCACGAGCATCTTGTGCAAGCAGCTAAACTCCCTGAAATCCATACAGTTGCCAAATAATTTTCACATCTGTATTTTTCTATAACTTTCATATGTCATTTTCCTTGCCTTTTCTGTCCAGTTCCTTATTCCTTATATCCTGTCCATGGGTTACAGCTCAATTCCCTTAGTGTTTATCAGCTTCTCTGGTTATTTCACTGTCACAGAATTCATGAGTATACAAACTTTTCTTCTTAAAAGGATAGCTTTATAATCTTTATGTCATTACTTTCTAGCAAACTCATCAAGATCTGATTCTGTTAAAAGATTATGAGTTTTTAAAAGGCCTGTTTAGACCCTATCACTTGGGAATGGAAAGGAAAAAGTTAAGGTGAGAAGTGAAAAGATGGGGTGTTTTCCTTTATAAATCAGATCTGCATGTATTTTGAAGAATTACACAGTTCCTTGTACAGTCAACAGTTACATAGATTTCATTTGCTTAATTAAGGATCGTATGCACACACATCTGCTATTCCTTTCATTGATCCAGTGTTGCTGTTTGAAGAAAGAGCAACCACAAAGGGAAGTTGAAGTGAAATGATCTTTTGGCTTCACCAAGACTGGAAAGTAAATAATGAGAGAATATCTATGCCAAAACAAAACAAATGTTTTTTGATCAGGCTGCTAGTTGAGACTGGAATATTCACAGTAAATTCAGGAAGGACACAGTTGGAACCTTTATGTTTCTTGTGTTGTCATTACACTGTACTTCTGTACAGAAATGTGCAGTTATATTGTAAATAATGGAGAATTGCACCTGTTTACACTGAGGTGTAATTAAGACCTAGTTGTGGAAGAATTCTGTACAAGTGTATCTTGGTATCTGTGTGAGTCTCTGTGAAAGGCAGTGGGAGGCTGGGAAAGCACTGTGTACACAAATCTCCTTGATGAATCTATGGCATGGGAACTAAAACCTGGGTATTGTTCTAGATTTGAGCAAACACATTTGAATAATGCAACGATCTCGAATCAAAGCAAATGTTACTGTGCACCTTATGTGCTGCTTCCAGTTCAGATCAGAAGCTGAAAAGCCAAAATATTTTGCACTGAGTTTCCCAATAGAGCGCAAAGAGAAAGTTCAGAAAATAACTCAAGTACTTCTTGCATGAGACTCCTCTGTCCCACAGGCACTTTGCACTTTAGAGGGGAAGGGTAGGGTGAACTTAATCTCACTTCAGAATCTTTTCAAGTTCCCATTTCATGATTTACAACGTATTGTATGTGCTAATGGAATAGGTAACTGCTGTTGCTTCTGGGAAGGGAAACACAGAAACTGCGGGGATTACTCTATGAGCAGGGTCACAAATAAAAGATTCTCTCTTTTTCCCAGTTCCCCATCTGTCTACCTGGCCAGTCAAGTTGTGCATTAGAATCCACAATATGGCTTCTAGTATAACATAGTTTATGAAAACAGGAACTGGTGACGTACGTTACAGAGAAGCAGAAAGATTTCACAGTTTCTTACTCTCTTCTCATTTTTAGTATTACCTTTACCACTTACTACTCACTGTAAGTAAATAAGAGAGGCTACATTTCTCATTGTAAACCATTCCACATGCCCAGGAGCTTTTTACTCTTGAAGAGCTTGTAAATCTGCATGACTAGGGCAAGGTTTGTTCACAGTACTGGGAAGAAATTTATTAAAAGAAATCCATTGACAGTCCTAACATGGCAGTAGTGAATGGTTCAGTGCATTTGAAAGCATGTATGAATGTAATTGATCTTGCTATTGCAAAATGTAGAAAACTCAGAAACCATATATCATAACAAGAAAAGTTTCTTCAAAGCCACATTTCCAGCTTCCAAAAGGTCTACATGCTGAATGTCTCTTGTCCAGAACATTTGCATTACTGTAGTTTGTCACAGTACGTTTTCTTAAATTTCAAATGGAAGAGGTAGCAGAAAAATCAATTTATTGCTGTAACTTTCAAAAGAAATGAGCAGCTGAGTTGGCCAAGCAGCTGATCAGATTGTAATTTATAAGTTCTGAAGACTTATAAATTGAGGTAAAGTTACAGTATCTCTGATGGTTTAGATTTTGTTACAGAAGTTAAAAAAAAGCATGCATTAGGACAAAGTCAAAAGAGATCAGAGACAAAAGGCTTTGTTATTCTCTCTGGCATTGCAGTTAGCTTCAATTTCTGTTTAAGTGGGTAAAAGCAGTGTTTTGTGAGGTATTGTGAGAGAAATCTTGAATGATTAGTGATACATATACCTATCTCTGCAGTGTAATTGTGTGTGTGTATGAGTGTATATGCGTCAAACAGCAGTAGATGGTTTAAACCTGATAATCTCCATAGTAAATGTGTACTTCCTCCCCTCCCTATATGTGCAAAAGAGATAACAATATGGTGCTCTGGGGATAAGTTTCATATATGTCTATCTTGTTTTGGCTGCATTTATTGTAAGCAACTTTTTAGTGTAATACAAACAGTTAGGAAAGACTAAATTTCTTGGTGACACTGAAGGACTAGGAAAGTTAACTTTAAGTTGCAGAAGTCACAGGTAAAACTATTCCAACATAACAGGCAATTAATGTAATGTGACACAATCAAATGGAAGGCAAAAGGAGCAGAACCCCAATTTAGAAGCTCTTGCTAATGAAGTAAAAAAAATTACTGAACATCCGCTGAACTGTACTGAGTGAAGACACAGTTCATTCTTCAACCTCTTTCTAAATTTTTTTTCAGACCCCTATTTATTGTGCTTTGTAGTGACACTCCTTTGTTTCCAAACAAATTATTCAGAGCCCTTCCTAGATGTAACATCCCTGCTTGATACCATTAGTCTTACATTTTAATTTCCATACACAGAACAGATCCCACTTAAACAAGCTGCGAATCAGACACACCAGCGTATCTGCCGTAGCTGCACCCCTGCTGCCACTGCTGGATGGGAAAGGACACCCTGCTGCAGAGGGCTCCTGGAACCCAAAGGTGGCCCCAGCACAGTGGGACCAGTTCACTCCTCTTTGCCCCCATCCTTCACTACACTGTGTTTTAATTGTACTGAATTCAAAAGTATTGAGCTTTTGCTCTCAGGTCATATTAAAGACTGGTCCTGAAAGGTATTGAATAGGGCTGACCAATTAAAACATTTTCAAATGAAGCTGGGTTTTATCTACTTGGAATTGTTCAACTTCCCCCCCTCCCCAAGAAGTTAAGTATCTTTGACAGTATCTGGGTGTATTGATTGTCATTTCTTCCTATTTTACTCCACATACTTTCATTTTCCATCCACACATGCACAGTTTTTTTCAGATACAAGATGGAGAAGAGAAACAAGGACAAAGTGAGGGTGGGGGGAACAGCAGGGAAGACAATTGCTGAGGAGGGAAAGAAAAACTGACACACACACACCAAACCAGAAGAATTTCTGTTTTCACAAAGAAACTTGCAGTTCTCCAAAGAGTTGGCAGGAATAACACTAGTCTGGTACATAATCCAGGTTCTAGTACAGTCTATGCTTCTCACCACAGGGCACTCATATTTTTAGGGATACGTTAACTTTAAAGTAGTATGTATTTTCTTACATTTATTAGGTGTTCAGTTCCCAATTCCAGAAATAAACAGAAATTATAGTATGCCCAAAAGGAGCTGCATGACCACTCTCTAAAGGCAGTACCTGCACTGAAAATTTTAGATTTTATAACCACAGCAAGGATGTAACAAAATGCTCAGCTTCTCTAACCCTACAGGAAGATGTGCTACAATATCTCCACAGCCAATCAGCAGTACTACAAGCCTCAGACCAGGAAACTCTTTAAAGTGCCGTATGTGTGAACATTGCAACGGGGACTTTCTCATTGCCGCTCTTTCTTTTTGTCTTCTGTATGCTTATAGGATGACAAGGTAGATGTGAAGTCACTCATGGCGAAATTTAACACGGGTAACAGCCCCACAGAGGATGTTTCTGGTAACAGTCGACCCTTCAAAGTCCCAGGACAAACTATCCATTCTGGATTACAGACAAGGAAAGCAGCACTTGAGAAATTTGCAAGTCAAGGAAATGCAACTTCTCCTTCAGGACCCAGTACCTTTCACAAACCTGTTCATCCTAAGCCTCCTGTGGGGGTCAAGCCTTCAATTGATGATAAAAGAGAGAAGGATCCAAAGCCCCCATATTTGAAACCAATGGCACAAAGGTTTGGAGTTCAGCTTCAGGCGACTAACAGAGAAAATGATGGAAAAGCTGGATGCACTAAACCCCCCACCAAAACCAGTGACTTGGCAAAAGAAGAGCCAAAGCCTCTGTATCCAAAACCTGCAGGCAACAAGTTCCTTAACTCTGCTCTTCATGAGAAGGAAAAAAATCCTCTGGGAACAAAACCAAATTCAAATTTTGCACCACAGGAGAGTGAGGCAAAACCAGCATTTTCAAAAGTAGCTGGAGTTAAGGAGAAGTTCATGTCTGCAACACAAGAAAATGAGCCCAAGCCTCCTTTCTCTAAACCATCTCTTGCACAGAAACCTTCTCTAAACCATGAGGTCTCCCACAACAAAGACCCTTCTAATAAAAATGTTTTTCTGCAAAAAGGACTATCAGGCCCTAGACCAAATATAGGCTCATTTAAAGCAGCAAAGGAAATGGATGAAAATAGTAACTGTGCTGCAGAATCTGCAGGCAGCCATTTTTCTAACATGGCTCTGAAGCCTACTGGCCACTGGTCTAGCTCATCTCAAGGCATCCCCAAAAACGTGGAGGAAAAGACTGAAGAAAAGGGAATGAGTGCTGCCAAGAACATCTTTCTCAACAAAATCATCCAGGAAGAATCAGGTTCTTCTTCTAAGTTCTGTAAGACAAACACAGCACTTGCTGCAGGAAGGCCATCAGGTGGATCACGAGAGAAAGAAGATGAGGACAGGAGCTCAGGAACCCCCAAGCGGAAAGCCTTGCCCCCACTGTTCAAGCTAGGCCAGCCCCCACAGAAGCCCAGCAGACCCCCCAGTGTGGACCTGGAAAGGTTTGGGAAGAGCAGCCCAAAAGGCAGTGAGTCCTCTCTGTTCTTGCTTTCTTGGGTATTGGGGTTTTTATGCATTATAGTACCCGATCCATTTCAGGTGGAATCCCCTCTTCTGTTCAGAAATAACATGAGACTTGTGCATCAGACAACCCCTTAAAGCTTTAACTTATGTTTGTGTCTCTTCCATACAGGACAGAGATTAAAATTATATTCTCCCTCAGCGATAAGGTGTAGGATGAATGCTTTCTGTATTGGGTTTATTTGTTTTTCAAAACTACTTAGATGGAGCTATAACTTGTGTCAGGGAGTTTAAATATTTTTCTCAACAGACATTTAAGTCCTGGCTTCCTATAAATGAGAAGTTGATGTTGTGTGTCCTGTTCTCGACAGTATCTTCCTGCACGCAGCTTGAGGGCCACCAAAATTATATACTACAACCTGTAGTAACCACATTTTTTTTTCTTTTTTGCCTTTCACAATGACTAATCATAGCGTGACCCTATAAGTTGCTGTATTTTAAAGTTTGTTTAGAAAGTTGAACACTATGCAAAATTACAGAATCAATTGTTCCCACATGGAGCTGCGTTGATTTTATACCCAGATCTGAATCCAGACTCCAAAAGCATCTCCTGGACTTAGTGTTTTCTGTTAGGTTTGCATGACTTCAGCAGTGTGGCAGTTAGTAGCACCTATGGCTCTGCCTCACTATTTTTGTAAAGAACCAAGCCTCTGAACTTTCTGATGGTCATAATCCAGGCATGAATATTAAGGCTTGCCACCAGGTTTCTGTAAAATTTGAGATGGTCTTGTGTGTGACGACAGCTTCTGTAAATACATTCGAAATATCTGGGAGGACACAAATCCCTGTGAAAAAAAGAAATTGCTGTGACTCCACTCTCGCAAAAAGTTCTGCTTCAACAGGTTCCTTTCACCGCATAAGACAAGTTGCAACAACGATATAAGCTGTTTCTGAGGCACTCAAAATATGCCCTTGAAAATCTCATGTAAAAATGTAGTTTCCTAAAGTTAGACCCACATATCCACTGTCACCTCCTTGAAGGAGAGATCTGTTTTGCAGAGGTTCTGAATGTCCTTAATTCTCCCTTAAATCACCTGTATTTCAAACTTTGGGTTAAGGTTTACCTCCAGAGCTTTTAGGCACTCTTTGGCAATTCTAAAAAGTTAAAATCAGCCACTCAGTTGGAATGGGTGATGCCAATTGACATGTTTCTATTACACATTTTATAGTAGCTGAAGGAGGTTTTCTCTTTTTTTTTATAGCACCAGGTGTTAGGAACTATGATTGCATAACAAATTCTGATCACATTTTAAAATCAAAGTTTTAAGTTGTATGGGTCCAGAAAAAAGCTATTCTTGATCTCGGTGCATGAGAGAAAAAAGGACAGAAATAAAAATTTGTTATTGTGTTAAATTTTTACTGGGGAGGGTTATTTTTTTTTTTTTCCTTAATGCACTGCTGTCTGCATTGAGCTCAAGAAGCAAAGAATATATTCAATCCTTACCTATATTTTTTTAGCTCAAGTAATTTTAATCAGTTATGTCCTGCAACTAATTGTGTCAGGTGATATACACAGGTAAGAAATTTCTGATAATGAGGGGCATTTCACCTACATTAGTCTGCCTTTCTGCATTGAGCTCAAGAAGCAAAGAATATATTCAATCCTTACCTATATTTTTTTAGCTCAAGTAATTTTAATCAGTTATGTCCTGCAACTAATTGTGTCAGGTGATATACACAGGTAAGAAATTTCTGATAATGAGGGGCATTTCACCTACATTAGTCTGCCTTAACCATCTCTCTTAGATTTAATTAAACAGATCAGACTTAGACTCTTAAATTTTCAGTGTCATCAGTGGGAAAGGGAGATGCCCAATGGTGTGATTCAGGGCATTAAAGTTAGATGCCTAACGTAGCTGACGATAGATGCTCTGAATAACTACACACTGTGCATATGCAGTACATCAGGTACATTCATGTAATTTAATTGATACAAAATTTGTCCTTATGCCTTCTGTATTTAGAATACAGTATGGCTTGTGCTTCAGCAGTTTTGAATACACATAAGACTGGTCTTCCTGAGACAGAAGACATTCAAAGGGGTTATGACTGGATGAAAAAGCTCAGAGCTGACTTTCTCTAAAGACTAAAAGCCACACTAAAAACACAGAGTGTGCTTGCAACTATATATTCTGTTATTATTAATCCCACTCAAAAATTAGGAGCATATGAGTAACATAAAATGTACTTTCTTGTTAGCTGCTACATTCTGATTTTCCTGTGTTACCCTACAGTTATGGAAATGTTCTCACAAATCCATGATCAGGGCCAGATCCTCAAATGTTGTAAATTTGTGTATCTCTTTAAAAGAAATTGGCAATATACAACAGTCTGAGCAGCTGCCCCTTCTCCGTAGAGCACTGTTCAGCATGACGGGCTTTACTCGAGTGCCCAGAGCAGTCTCAAAATGGAAAAGCAGCATTTTCAGCAAATGACACCAGCAAGTGTTTTGATTAAACAAAAACAATAAGAGCTTTGCTAGCTAGAACTTTGAGAAGTCCTGATGAAGGCTGGAAACACCGAAAACTGCAATTAATTTTTTAAAAATACATTTTTTAGTTTATTTTTAAGTAATTAATGCAGGAATGATTTTATTTGTTTGTTTATTGTTTATTCAATTAACATTTTTTTTCTGGTTCCCATGCAGTTATAGACACAAAGCATTTTTTCATCCTCTTTTTAAAACTGAGGGTTAGAAATATTTATCCTATGCATTTAAAATGAATACTGTGAACAGGGCTGTAAGAATAATACCAGAACTTTGCTAGAAGGAGGCTCTGCAGTTGTCTAACCAGCACTAGTGCAGCCACCGGCCTGGATGAGTTGCACTGGGAGCGTGAGCTAAGGATAGAGCTGCCCAGTATGGTGGCACAGGTTGTTCTTCAAACATGTTGCAAAATACACACCCAACTAAGTAGAACTAAAGGGTCAGACATGGTCTTCTCTACTTCACAGTCTTTGGGTCCAGGGCAAGACTGAAAGATTTAGAAAACACATCAATACGAAGCTGTTCATAGCGGCCTTGAACTTCAGCCTTCCCCTGTAGAGCTGGCATGTAGAGCTTGATGCTCTATTTGGCTTTAATTAATGCAGCTCATTTCTTTGTGGCCAGAACTTTCTGTAGAACAGTTCTGGGGGAGAGACCAGGTGTTCTAGAGTGAATCCTGAACAAACTCATTTTCAGCTGAACAAAGTTATTCATTGCTGCTGGGTTTCTTGGAATGTTAAACTCGAATGACAAAACCTACCTGCTTTGGAAAGGCAGTTAAACTGAATTGTTTTCTTTTTTTTTTTAACTGTCATTTCAAGAACCAAAGTCATGTCAGGAAGATGCCACCCCCACAGCACAAATTCTTCCTGCTCATTACTTCGTCCTGATAAACAGCAGCTTGCCATAGTTGTTCAATTTGCTGCTGTGATTCAGGTGCTGAGTAAAAAGAAGAACAAGCAAATGGAAATGGTCTTCCCATCCAACAAAGCTTTCTGACATCTAACCTTTGGGGGTTTTGATCTGTACTAGGGCAAAATAACTTTTGTGTTGTCCTCTGAGAAAAGAAAAGCTCCATGCATGGTGGTTGTTATACTTGTCAGGGGCATGTGCCTGGGGTGCAGAAAACCTTGTATTGCCTGATTTAAACCAGGAGTTTGAACTCGGCTTTCTCAGAAGTAGCAATTCACCCCTTTTTCTTTGGTTGTTATTCTTTCCCATGAAAGCTGCTTTACTGTTTTTTCATAATCAAGTATTCACTGGGCATGAAATAACTTTAAATGTTAGAGTCTGAAAGATTTACCTTAGATGCAGCAGTCTTAGTCATGTGTGGGAGAAGGATTTAAAATGTCCGCCACACCTGCATGAATACTAAGGGATGCTGGTTTGGTGTTGACCTTGCTTTGGATTAGAAAGTTTCACCTGGTCCTGAAAAACTTTTCTTGATAAAACTTCTGTAGGTACAAGTGTCTTTCTGAGGAAAGTTTGACTATTGATGCGTTACTATTTTCCAGTGAAGGAAGCCTTTAAGGAATTCCTGACTGGGCCTGTGAATACTTGGCACTCTGGTAAATTCCTGTGTTATGTCCCGTTACAGCAATTTTCCCTGAGAGTAGATCATATTTACAATAGCTCAGAATCAATGAGATGCATGTGCTTTCTAGATTCAGAAAATAATACTAATGATACTGTTTTATAATAAACACCCAAAGTGCAAACAGGGCTTTGTTAGAAAAAAGAAGAGAAGCAAAGTCATTTTACTGACAGCTTTCCACGTGAGGCCACACCGTACTGTTGCTTTCAGGGAAGAACTGCACCTGGGCTGACCTCAGTGGGTCGTGCATGTACAGATGGCCACCCACATAAAGTCAGTTGAAGGCTCAGAGTGCCTAGCGCTCTAAACACCTCTGAATGCCTCGTGAATGATCAACACTGGGGCTTCAGCTAGGGACAATATTTTGAGCTGTACTGGGAGAAACAAAAGGAAACTGTACTGAATCTAGGAGGAAAGAAGACATGTAAGAAAATTCTCATAATTTATAATTTGGGTTATGGTTGTGTCTGAGTCCTTGTTGAGGTTCTGTTCTGCGATGGATTGTGTACCCACACAGTGACATGGCTATTTGAGTCGGGTAAGGCAAACAAAGAGAAAGGAGGAATGAAAATTTGAGGTGCATTGTCAAAGTTATCACAACACTCTGTTGGTAAAGCAATTAACAATCAAGCACAACTCCCAAGGACAGTAAACCTCTTAACTGTGTTTGCAAAGCCCCTTAGAACCAGTTAGTTGTTGCTCTTACTTGATGGCAAGATGAAACAGCAGCTTCCAAAGTTATAAAGAACAGGGGATTTTTTTATCACAGGATGTCACAGCTGTTTACTGCAGAATCTGGACTTAAAAGGTCAATGTAGGTTTTCTTTTTCTACCTCAGTGCTAGATTGGATAAAGTTATGCAACA